ACCTACCTACCTATCTTCTATCTATCTATCTATCTATCTATCTATCTATCTATCTATCTATCTACTATCTACCTACCTACCTACCTTCCATCTATCTACCTACCTATCTTCCATCTACCTACCTACCTATCTTCTATCTATCTATCTATCTATCTATCTATCTATCTATCTATCTATCTACTATCTACCTACCTACCTACCTTCCATCTATCTACCTACCTACCTACCATCTATCTATTTACCTACCTATCTATCTATCTATCTACCTACCTACCTACCTACCTTCCATCTATCTACCTACCTACCTACCTTCCATCTATCTATCTACCTACCTACCTACCTTCCATCTATCTATCTATCTACCTACCATCTTCCATCCATCCATCCATCCATCCATCCATCCATCCATCCATCCATCCATCTATCTATCTATCTATCTATCTATCTATCTATCTATCTATCTATCTATCTATCTATCTATCTATCTGCAACAGCTTTTACTGTTATAACTAAAATTGACATTGCTGATATTTAAATGCACATCTTGCACATCCTTTCTCCCATCTATTCTTTTTTAATCCCTTGGATTATAGAATCCTTTATGATGGTGAAATTAGAACCCCCCCTTAATTGATTTCTCCCGGGCTCTCTTGTAAACCCCATTCCCAACCAGTTTGCTAAGTTTAGCCTCCCCCCTCCTCCGTTTCTTTCTTTGAAGCAACCTGTTGCTAAGTCACATATTTCTGGAGAGCTGATTCAAGGGGCATACTTATGTTTTTATATATGAAAGTGTGGTGTCATGGGGGGAACCACAAAACCCGAATGTGTTCCGGAAATTTTGTTTATTGGTTCAGTAACTTCCCTTAGCGAAGAGGGAAAATGGATAGAATTGTATTACTTTCTTTCAAAAAGAACGCTCTCTGAACTTCCCCCAATTCTTTTTCACATCCCAGTTCATTTTCATCTGGCCTTTTAAAGATTTTGTGTTTGTGTGTGTGTGAGAGAGAGAGAGAGAGAGAGAGTCAGGGAGAAGTTAAATAGAAAAACTAAAGTTTGTTTAGACTGGCTGATCTGGGCTTGTCTCCCAAGTATTTTGTGATTTGCATGAGGATATTTTACAAAGGCAGTGACCCTAAAGGAGTCTACTGTACGAGGAAGTAGTTTATACCATATTTTGGGGCAATTACTTTATGTAAATAACCACCACCCAGCACAGAACGATCTGCATGGAGGCCTCTGCCGTAGCATCGTTGCTCAGAAGTAGATCTCGCGAATTCTGATCGGACCCGTTTGCAGGACGTGTGATTCGGCTTGTTTTGAAAATCTGGATTTGAGAGAGCTGCCCGTATTTCAACCAGCCATTGCAGCTGTGCCTTCTAACATGTCTGAACTCCAGCCGCCCACAAGTTGTCATAGGTACGCTGGGGCCGTCTAACCCTTTATCTGCAGATCAAGCTGCCGCCAGAGGCACGAAAGCAGTCAGTTGGCAACCTTCGTGCTTTCCCCTCCCCATCAAGACAACAAATGTCTCGAGAGGATCCGTCTCTTTGCAGAGGGAGCAAAAACCTACTTCCGTTTGCAAGATCGTTTTATTTTCCCTTTGTTTTGCTTCCCCCCATCAATGTTCCTGCTGCAAGGAGAGTTGTCCACCGTGAGTCAGATCAGTTTTCAGGGTTTTTCCAGGGTGACATTTACTCCTCGCTGTCTGAGTAGGGGACTGTCTCTATTTAGCAGATACGTTTTAGCTAATCCAATTATTCTCAGACTGCTGCACGCGACAGTTACATTGTTTATCCAGCGCCAGGAACTTTAATAGAGTCC